TATTGCTAAATTGTCTTCCATTGTGTGGAGGTACCAGTTTATCCACTCACCTACTGAAGGCAATCTTGGTCGCTTCCAGTTTTTGGTGATTATGAATAAAACTACTATAAACTTTCATGTGCTGGTTTTTGTGTGAACTTAAGTTTTCTAATTAGTTGGGAAAATATCTAGGAGTATGATTGATGAATCAGCTGTTGACTCTTTTTACTTTTATAAAAAAACTAGTGAATTGTCTTCCAACGTGGCTGTACTATTTAGAATTCCCAACAGCAAGGAAGGAGAATTTCTGATGGTCTGTAACGTCACCATCAATAAGCATTGACAGTTTTTTGGATTTCAGTCATTCTAACAGGTATGCAGTGGCGAGTGTCTCGTTGTTTTAATTTGCATTTCCCTCATGACTAATGGCTTTGAGCATCTTTCCATATGTTTGTCATTTGTATATCTTCTTTAGTGTATCTGCTCAGATTTTTTTTGCCCATTTTTTAATTAGATTCTTTTGATGTTTAAGTTTTAAGAGTTCTTTGCATATTTTGGATACAAGTCTATTGCATGTGCTTTATAAATATTTGTCTGAGACTGTGGCCTGTCTTTTTATTCTGTTAACAGTGTCTTTCACAGAGCAGAAGTTTTTGATTTGAATAAAATCCAATTAATCAAGTCTTTTTTCATGCATTGTGCTTTTAGTGTTGTATCTAAAAACTTATCATAGAATATAAGATTATGTAGATGTTCTGTTTTCTTCTAGTAGTTTTTTAGTTTTGCATTTTACACTTCTGTCTATGATCCATTTTTAGTTAATTTTTGTAAAAAGTGTAAGGTCTGTGTCTAGGTACATTGTTATTTTACAGAAGAATTGATCACGTAAAACAATAAATAATGCTGGAAAAGACTATCCTTTTTCTATTGAATAGCTTTGCTCCTTTGACTAAGATCAGCTGACTGTATTTGTGTGGTTCTATTTCTCAGCTCTCCATTCTGTTCCATTCATCTTTTTGTCTATTCTTTCTCCAATATCATACTGTCTTGCTATAGCTGTAAAGTAAGTCTTGAAATCATATAGTGCGAATCCTCCAACTTTGTTTTCATCTTTCAGTGTTATGGGAACACTGAAAGGAACTCTAGAATCACTATGTCGGTTTCTACAAAATAGCTTGCTGGGATTTTGACTGATATTGCAATGAATTTATAGATCAAGCTGGAATGAAATGTTATCTTAAAGACATTGAGTGTTCCAATCCAGGAACAGAAAATATATCTCCATTTTTAAATCTTCTTTGATTTCTTTCATCAGTGTTTTGCAGTTTTTTCCATACAGATCCTGTATATGTTCTATTAGGTTTCTCACGAAGTATTTCATTTTTTGGTGCTATTGTAAATGGTATTTTTAAATTAAAACTCCAACTATTAATTTCTGGTATTAAGGAAAGCAGTTAACTTCTGTATATTGATCTTGTATCCTGTCACCTTGCTATGCTGGCCTTTTAATTTCAAGAGTGTTTTTGTAGACTCTTTAAGATTTTCTACATAGACAGTTATATCATCTGTAAACAAAGACAGTTTTATTTATTTCTAGTTTGTATACCTTTTATTCTTCCCCTTATCTTATAGCACTAACTAGGACTTCCAGTACAAGGTTGAATTAGACTGTGAGAGAAGACAGCCTTGCCTTATTCCTAATGTTACAGAGAAAGTGTCCATTTTCTACCACTAGCAAGGATATTAATTTTAGTGTTTTTACAAATGTTTTTCATCAAGTTGAGGAAGTTCTCCTCTTTTCTTAGCTTGCTAAGAATATTTTTTTTTTTATCACGAATGAGTGTTGGGTTTCATCTAGTGACTTTTTTGGGCACCAATTGATATGATTACATGATTTTTCATTTTTAGCCTATTGATATAGTGGATTATGTTAATTGATTTTCAAATGTTGAATCAGGCTTGCATATCTGGAATAAATCTACTTGATTGTGGTGTGTAATCCTTTTCATAAATTGCTAATTCTATTTGGTAATATTTTATTAAAGATTTCTTTTTCCACGTTAATCAATGAAAATGGTCTTTTTCCTTCCTTGTAATGTCATTATCTGCTTTTAGGAGTAAGGTAATGCTGGCCTTAGAGAATGAGTTAGGAAGTATTGCCACTGCTTCTATTTTCTAGAAGAGATTGTAGAGAAATGATATCATTTCTTCCTTAAATATATGGTAGAATTTACCAGCAAAACCATCTGGACCCATTGCTTTCTTTCTTTTTTTTTTTTGGAAGGGTATTGGTTATTAATTCAATCCCTTTATTAGAAATAGGGTTATTCAATTTACTCATTTCTCCATTTCTCCTTGTATGAATTTTGATAGTTTGTATCTTTCAAGTAATTGATCTACTTTATCTAAGTTATCAAATTTGTGGTCATAGTGTTGTTTACAGTGTCCCGTTATTATTTTTTTTAATGTCCGTGGGTCAGTAGTGATGACCTCTCTCTCATTTCTAATATGGGTAATTTGCATCTTGTTTCTTTTTGTCTTAGTTAGCCTGTCTAGAGGTTTATCAATTTTCTTGATTTTTTCCAATAACCAGATTTTGGTTTTATTGATTTTCTCTGTTGTTTTCCTGTTTTCAATTTCATTGACTTCTGCTACAATTTTATTATTTCTTCTTTTCTGCTTGCTTTACATTTAAATTGCTGTTTATTCTCTAGTTTCCCTTGATACTAAGGTGTAATCTTGGGTTACTGATCTTATATTTTTCTCTTTTCTAATATATGCATTTAGCACTATAAATTTCCCTCTGAGTACTGCCTTTGCTGTAGCCCATATGTTTTGACAAATTATATTTACATATATATTATATATTCCTTTAGTTAAAAATAATTTTTAATTTCTCTTCAGACTTTTCTTTGACTGGTGGGTTATTGAGAAGTGTGTTGTTTAATTTCAATATATTAGGGTATTTTTCAGCTATCTTTCTTTTATTGATTTGTAGTTTAATTCCATCATAGTATAAGAATCTACTTTGTATGATTTCTATCATTTTAAATTTCTTAACTTGCGTTTTATGGCCCAGAATGTGCTCAGTCTTGGTGAATATTTAATAATGTGTGTTCTACTCTTGTTGGATAGAGTATTATATAAATGTGAATTCGGTCAAGAGATTGATAGTGTACTTCAAGTCACCTTTAATTCTTACTGGTTTTCTGCCTGCTTAATCTGTCACTCACTGAAAGAGTGGTGTTGAAGCTGTCAACTGTAATAACAGGTTTGTCTATTTCTCCTCTCAGTTCTATCAGTGTTTGCCTTACGTATTTTGACACTCTGTTCTTAAGGACATACACATCTAGGACTGTTACATCGTCTTGGAGAATTGACCTCTCTTTGATTATTCACTGCCCTCTGTTATCCCTGATAACCTTGCTTGTTATGGAGTTTGCCTTGCCTGAAATTAACATAGCTACAATATTACTATATCAAAAGATTTTGATTAGTATGAACACGTTATTTCTTTCTCCTTTTCTCTATTTTTAACATATTTGACTCTTTATATTTAAAGTGTGTTTCCTGTCGATAATGCATGCATGGGTCTTGTTTTTCTTAATGCACTCTGACAATCTCTTTCTTTTAACCGCTGTATTTAGACCATTGCTACTTAAAGTGATTACTGATATATATGGATTAATATATACCATGTTTATATCTGTTTTGTATCAATTGCACTTGTTCTTTGTTTCTTTTTTCCTCTTATTTTCTGCCATTTCTGATTTCAAATGAGCATTTTATATGATTCCATTCTACCTCCTGTCTTAGCATATCAATTGTACTTATTTTTAGATTTTTTTGTAGTAGTTAACCTAGAGTTTACAATATACATTTCAACTGATCTAATTCCATCTTAAAATAATACTGTAGTGATTGACATGTCCTGCAGGTGCCTCAGAACAGTGTTCCCAACTCATCTCTTCCTTCCGTATAATATAGCTGTCATTCATTTCACTTACTCGTATAGCATAATCACCTAATACATTGTAACTGTTATTAATTTTAACCGTTACGTTTTAGATAAATTAAGAATAAGAAAAATGAAGATTTTATTTCACCATCATTTATTTCTTCCGTGATGCTCTTCCTTTTTATGTGTATCTAAGTTTCTGGCGTATATTATTTTCTTTCTCCCTGAAGAACTTTTTTTAACATTTCTTTCAGGGCAGGTCCAGTGGCTATGTATTCCCTCAGTTTTTGTTTGTCTGAGAAAGCATTTATTTCTCCTTTACTTCTAAAAGATAATTTCACTGGATGCAGGATTCTAAATTGGTGGTTTTTTTATTTCAACACTTTAAGTGTTTCACTCCATTCTCTTTTTGCCGGCATGGTTTCTGATGAGAAGCCCACTGTTTTCATAGCCTTGTTTCTCCCTAGATAAGTTGGGGTTTTTGTTTTCATTTTTGTTTTCTGGCTTCTTCCACGATTTTTTTTTTTTTTTTTGGTCTTCTGTAATTAGAGTACGGTATGCATAAGTTTAGATTTTTTGGTATTTACCCTTCTTGGTGTTCTTTGAGTTTTTCAGATTTTGGTTTCCTGTCTGTTGTTAATTTTGGAAAGCTCTTGGCCATTATTATTTCACTATTCTTTTGCTGTGCCCCTTCCTTTCCTCCTAGTATGCCAATTATGCATATGCTAAACCTTTTTATATTGTCCCACAGTTTTTAGATTCTTTGTTCTTTTCTTTCTTCTTCATTATTTTTCTCTTTGAATTTCAGTTTGGGAGGTTTCTTTTTGTCCTTCTGTTTTTCATTTTTTAAGGGCAACCTATTATAGAGTTTTACCTCTTCTTTTGTGTGTGTGTGTGAGGAAGATTGGCCCTGATCTAACATCTGTTGCCAATCGTCCCTTTTTTTTCTCCCCAAAGCCCCAGTGCATAGTTGTATATCCTAGTTGGAAGTCCTTCTAGTTCTTCTATGTGGGACATCATCACAGCATGGCTTGATGAGCATTGTCAGGTCCACACCCAGGATCTGAACCAGTGAACCCCAGACTGCCAAAGCAGAGTGTGCAGACTTAACCACTTGGTCATGAGACCAGCCCCTGGGAGGTTTCTACTGACCTATGTTCAACCTCACTGATTCTTTCCTTAGCCTTGTGCAGTCTAATAATAGCCCATTAAGGCATTCTTCATTTCTGTTACAATGTTTTTGATTTCTAACTTTTGATTCTTTCTTCGAATCTCTCTGTTTATATTACCCATGTATTCTTGCATGCTTGCCACTTTTTTTCATTAGAGCTCTTAACATAATAATCATTGTTATTTTAAATTACTTGTCTGATAATTCCAACTTTTGTGTCATATCTGAGTTTGGTTCTGATGATTATTTTGTCTCTACACATTGTGTTTTTTCTTGCCTTTTTACATGTCTTGTAATTTTTGTTGAAAGCTAGGCATCTTATATCAGGTCATCAGAACTGAGGTCTTTGGTGTGCTGATTTATGATAATCCGGCAAGTAGTTGGGTTGTGTTTAGTATTTGCTGTAGCTATCAATGACAGAGGATTCAAATTCCTCTAGTACTTTTGTTTTTGTCCCTCCTCCTGAGTCCTTGACTTTTGACCTCTCTAAATACTCCACCTCAGAGAGTGTCTATGTATCACAGCTCTTTGAGATGTAATCTATCATTACTATCCTGGAGCCTGTAGGTGTGGTCGTAAGGTATTGGGGAGTAGGAGAATTCTATAATCTTCCAAATAAATCTCAGTGTTTTACTAGGCCTGTCTCTTGGAGCTGTGATCTTCACAAATAGTCTCCAGCAGTATAGATTTCTCGACTTCCCACCACTACCTTCCTTACCTGGCTGTAGTTTTCCCAAACTATTTTGTTGAAGATCTTCTCCTGTTAACTATGTTTTTATTTTTCCCTCCTTCAGGTGAGATAGGAAGTACAGAGGGGGCTGGAGTGGGAGGAATGTCCTTTCCCCACTGAGGATAAGGTCTGGCAAAGTCTTTTCCCTTAGAGTATAGGACTGTGTTATGGAGAAGGCTCTTTGTCAAATTGCTATTTTAGTGTACCTATTAGTTTAAGGATCCAACAACTGTGCTGCAAGTAAGCAGATCTTGACTGTATATCTGGATGAGCCTGTCTCTGCACATTTGCGGGTGGAAGTTTGTCCTACAACTTCAGTTCTCTGCTTAGTCCAGGAAAAGTAGTTGATTTTCAGCTTGTTCAGCTCTTCCGTGTTGTAAGGATGAGAGCGACAACTTCTAAGCTCTTCACATGTCTCACTTGAAACCAGGGTCATTGTTTATTTTTTTAAAGCATAGTATATTCCATGTAATATATTCCACTATACAGAGGTAGAGAGTATGTCATGTTCACTGTTGTATCCATCAGTTTCAGTTAAGTATGTGAAACCAAGCAGACAGTGAATAATTATCTGTTATATGGATAGCAGGATGGATGGATGGATGGATGGAGAAATGAAGATTCATAAAACAAATTGTGAAAGCCTGGTATGAAGCAATAATGGAGCAAAGAACTTAGGGAGAAAAAAGAAGGGAATGTAATTTTATTAATTAATTATATAAGATAAGCCTAGGGAAGAAGTCAAAAGTGAAAGATGAGGAGAATTAGAATGGAGAGGTTTGTTTAGGAGAATTGGAGAGAAATTGAAGGAGCGCTCACTCCGCACCACCAGTCTAGTATTTTTTGATGCCCGTTCTATACCCACCCTTTCTCAAAGCCTTCGCTGGCAACTCTGGATGTCTTTTTCTTTCTCTCATGCTGTATATAAAAAGACTATTCATTTTGGCTAAAATTCAATATAATGTAGCAGAACTCAACTTAATTCAAATTAAAGCAAGACACCATTTTTTCCGGCATGTGAAGAATGAAGAAATAAATCATAATGCCAAGTGATTAACAAGTTGACAGGGATACCAACACATTTCTAACCTCCTGGTTAAATTATACTCATTTCTAGAAATTAATTTGGCAGTATATAGCAACATTTTAACAATGTGTGTAACTTTTGAGTCCATTATTTTATTTCTAAGAATTTGTTCTATGAAATAACGTAAGATTCGTTTACACATTTTTCCTAACATATTTTTTAGTTGCTTGTAATATCCCAGAAAGTTAAGGCACTGATAAGAGAGCAGACAAAAAATAAATAAATAAACGAACAAAAAAAGTTCCAAGTCACATAGAGCTTAAATTTCATTGGAAAAGATTCATAATAAATAATAAATACATAAATATATAGCATGGTTAGGGTGATGAGTGCTACGAAGAGAACTAAAGCAAAATAAAAGGGCATGTAGAGACTGAATTCTGTTTTATACTGAGGAGGCAGGGTTGGTATCTCTGATGTGTTGGCTTTGACCAGAGAGCAAGTGAAGGAAGGAAGTGGGATGTTCTGGTCTCCGGAGGAAGAGCACTGAGCATTGCAGGCACAGAAAAGCAAGTGCAAAGCCTCAAGTCGTGCACATGCTTGTTATGTTTGAGAAACAGCAAGGGGGTCTGTGAGCTAGAGCAGGATGTGTGAAGGGGAGGGTCGTAGAGAGGAAGACAGGTAAGTAACTAGGGGCCAGATCATGGAGGATCTTTCAAGGCCAAAGCAAGGAATTTGAATTCTCTTCTGAGACATATGAAAAATTACTGGAGTATTATAATAAGAATGACATGATCTAGTTTAGATTTTAAAATAACCACTGTGACAAGGAGCAGGGCCTGAATGGAAACGAGTTCAAATATTGTTGCAGCAATTCAGCCAAGAACTGATACAAGCTTGGATTGTGGGGGTGGCAGTGGAAGCAGGTGCTAAGTAGGTAGATTCCGGGTTCGCAAGATAGAATCATCAGAATGTGCTCCTGGACTGGGTGTGATAAATGGGAGAAAGACAGACTTCAAAGACAGTTCAAGGTTTTTGGCCTGAGAAGCTGAATGAAAATCACTGACATTAACTGCGATGGGGAAAACTACAAGAAAAGTAGATTTGAGATGAAAGTCAACAATTCAATTTTGACAAGATAAATTTGAGACGCTTACTTGATATTCAAGTGGGGATGTCATGTATGCTGCAGGAAATATAGTATAGGAATTCAGAGGAGAAGTCATCCGGAGATATGTGCAATGACCGTGTTATAAGAATGTTTACCACATTGGTGTTTATCAGAGTGAAAATTTTAAAAATTCAAATATCCATAACTGGAGGCTTTCTAATATGCATCAGAGGCAGGCAATCTGGCTGAAAGTCCGAGCTCATAACCATTGCCCCATATAGCATTGTGCTTACTCCAATAGGTCAAGTATGCAAGTGTTGTCGACAAAGATTACAAACCCACTGAGGGTCAAGTCATTTCTTATCATTCATATCCTATACAGCATCTAGAATTTCTTGATTTGAATTCTGGCAATAGAGCTGTCTGCTCTACACAGAAGGATCTTATGAAACCATATGTTTTTAGAGGCTAATTGATTTTAATCCTTTAAAAACATCTGGTGTTTAAATTCTGGCTTATTGTACAAAAATACGGAAAATTTTTTGTAGGGGTGTTAATCCTTTCATTAGTTCATCTGTATTTCTTTGTTATGGTTTCTGAACCTGCCTTATTCTTCTTGTTATGCAATAGTCATAATTTCAATTGTAGTATTTAAAATTAAAATCAAATGGCTGATGAAATGCTGTGCTGATTTTAAAAGAGCAAAAAGAAAAAAATTTAATGTGTCATTTAACCTTACCCCCTCTAGTTTCCAAATTTTGTTCCTTGCAAAAGGTCATCTTTATTGATTAGCTTAATGGAATGCATTGTGTATTAGAATCCACGTATCCTTAGAAGTCACTTATTTCCAGGTTAATTGGTTTCCAGCACATACAAAACTAACATATAAACACAGAGACAAGAAAAGAAAACTGATAAGTACATGTGCTTATGTCATCTAGGATTTTTTTAAAGGGCATTATAAATAATATGTAAAGATGATTTAAGCAGTTACAGACATCAGTCCTGATGTTCCACACTCCTCCCCCAGTTGAAGCATTGATTTCTGCAAAACACAGATAAAGGGAAATTTCATCTGGTTTTGTTCAGAAATTTTGTAATACTGTGTCCATAATCAAGCCTCTGGCTTTGAAATTAGCCCTATACTTCATCATGCCTTGAATATCATTAAGGAATAGTGATTTTGAAAAGAGGCGCCATTAGCGGGTATTATCAGGAGACTAAAGTGCTTATTCTTTAGGAATGACATTTGATTTTCAAACAAAATACATTCAGGGCGTTTTGTCACCTGGCATGAGCTACTGGCTAGTCTAAAATCACGCGTGCATTTTTACAATTAGCTTTTGGAAATATGTAAATAGAACACACACATCAGTCCAGTTCGTATCTGTTAGGAATAAGCATTACATTTGCCCTATGCACACAAAACTCTTTACCATAGCAACCCTCAATCATCGTGAGGACTGAGTTTTAGGCAACTGAGAGTCAAGTCCGCTATTATATTTCATATTGTACATTTTTCTTTATTGTTGGTGTGTTAGGGCAGGGACAATGGCAAGAGTATCTGATAAAGCAAGAAAAAAATCAATTTCCCTTTGACACGAAGAGACAAAATAAAGATGGCAGCATCTCCGCCACAACTTCTAGCATGAGCGTTGATTGCACACCATGCCGTGGAATTGGAATTGAAGAGTTTCATGATGCACCTCTGGATTTACGGATGCTGAGTTTAAGGTCCACAGAAACGAGATGACTTACTCAAATATGCAGTTACAGAACTAAACTAGGATCAGAATTCAGATTCCATGACTTGCGGTTAAGCATGTTTTTCCGTGATGCACACGTGCATTTGTTCAGTTGCCTGTGCTGTCTGATTGGAAGCAACACATGCTACAGAAATCCTCAGTCTATTAAACTTAGCTCTATGCCCCACTTTCCTTCCAATTCATTCAGTCAGACTAGCTGGGGGAAATTTTGCAGAATGTATGCGGAATTTTAGAGGGAATCCTGCTTTCTACTGTAATTTATTATTGCCTTGGCTCTTGTCATTGTTATAGTTTCCTTACACTGTTCTTGGATGAACTCAGTGTGATTTTTCTCCCATCTGAATACTATTCTATGCACCTATCACACATAAAGATGTAGCAGAATCTTGTTAAAGTGCAGCTCATTTTGTACAATAATGGAACTACCAGTCACACGGAGGGATGTACTATTTCTGTGAAATGAACGTCCTGATTTCACATAGTTATTATATAACACAGATCTTAAATCAGTTCTCCACATCAGTATTACATAGGTCTCTTTTTTTTATTTCAGCTTTGTCCTTCATATTTAAACAATATCTTAAGGTGTCATACCTGCTGAGATTAGGCAACTAGACTGTTCTACCCTATGTGTGTGACAAGGGCCACTGATTTATGATCATGTTATTCTCAGTGCCAATTTTTTTAATGGGTTGATTTTTTTTGAGTCCTGGGCAAATGTTATGCTTCTGGAAGAATTCATCTCCATTCGGACTGCTGTCCTTGTGCTTTCTCTGTCACTGTTATTTCTCAGCATTGTCAGGCTCAGTGTGTCCTCGAATCAGTCCTCTCCACTCTTGTCCTCAACCAGCAGGGTTTCTCTTTGATATCTGGCATTTTCAGATTTTGGACTGTAAACCCAGTGTGCAAAATATGTTACTTTTGGAAATCTTTCTCTATAACTATGATACCACATCTCTGAGATTCAGATAGTGTTCTTTGGCATCTAGGAAACAATAGAGGTATATTCTAGAGCAGGTTCAGCATCTGCACTGAAAGGACCCCAGTTTGATCACTTGGAGGACTTTAAATAGCATTGAATTGGAAGTATTTCACATGACCTGGAAGCCTGGATCAACACCAGCTGCTAGTTTCCCCGTTGCCTTCTGTGCTGGACCAGGCGCTACTGGACGGGGCCTCTCATCCACATCAGCTCACTGGTAATAACACGCTTCCAGGGCTCTTTTTCATGGCAGGCCTTATGTTAAGCACACTGTACATATCATCTCAACTGATCCTCCCAACAGACCTTTGACATCAGTATCTCATTATCCTCACTTTACAGATGAGCACCCTGAGGCCCAGACAATGTAAGTCTCCCGCCCAAGTCACACAGCTAGCAAAGGAGGGAGTTGGAATTTGAACCCGGGCAGTGGGCTTGGACAACCTGGCTGTTTCACCTCTGTCCTCTGCTCCCTTGTTTGGAAAGATTGTTTACCTGTATTAATTACCTAGTGCATTCCTCAAAGTTGACTCAAATTATGATTCTCTTTTTATTTCACCCGAATAGAATCTATCTTATCTATTCTATGTCACCACATTATTTACTTCTATATCCTGATTTGATTTTTAATTACTAAAAAGGAAGCAGCGTTTGATTTCTCTACGTGGAAAATGATGTTAAAAAAAAGAAGAAGAAAGCCAAATAATTACTTTTCACTGACTCCTGCTATTGAGAAAATAGGCTTCCCTCAGAAATCCCTAAATAGAGTAATAGTTCACTTTTACTTGGCCTTGTCAGAGAATAAAATGTTCTGCATCTGTGATTTTTCCACATGACTAATCTTACCTTTTCATATGCCAATTCTAAAAAAAAGTATATTTTCAAGTATTTCTAAAGTGACCACTTCCTCGGCTTCTTAAGCAGAGAATAACAAGTTTGACAAAATCTTTCCTTTATGACTCAGAATCATCATGATAAATGCCTGTTATTTTGCTATTTAGTAACTTAAGTCTGTCTGCTTTTTAGCTGTTCTCTTTCCTTGATACCATATCATCAGCTGTCATTTTTTCTCTTGAGTGGCTTTCCTTCTAAAATATTTCTCCTCAGACACTCACATTTTTGCTATAGCAAGTATCTTGTGTGCTGATAAGGAAACAATCAGATTATCTAATAGAGATGCATAAAATAAAGGTAAGTAATGCATGATAGGAATAAAAATATAGGATTTAGTGAGATTTTTAAATTAGTATTTTCTTAACTCAGAGGCATTTTTCCATCACTTCAAAATTATGGGCTGTATTTCGAAGGGACTGAAGGAGCCAGGAGTGGGATGTCTGGATAAGGAAAACATTACTGAGTTTTGAAAATATGTTGCAAATATAGAACTGAACATCAAAATATATATTTATGTATATAGAAATATAGAACTGAAGACACAGTCTTTATATAACCTGCTTTTATATAACGTGCTTTTCATCCTATTAACTTTCTGAAGTAGTTGCAGTTCAAAAGCAAATTATGTTATGTAGAATTCCTTTTGCTTTTAAAGGATTTTGATAATTCTACTGCTTCAGGGTTTGGGGTGAAGTAATGCGATGACTACATCAGGCTTAACAAAAGCTACCCAGGACTGTTCACATAGTAACAGTTATTTGGAGATGGATTTTTATTTCTCAGTTTGTTCGTGCCTTGAAAATCCAAACGAAAAATAAACTGGAATCTTATGGCAGGTTTGCTGTTCAACTTTATTTAGCTGTGTGGGTGACGCGAATAACACATGTTCAAGAAGATTAATTAGTGATTATTTTGCCGAGAAGCATAATTTTGCAGAGCCATCTGGTGTACCATTATTGGGAGGGCAATCTTGATGGATTACTCATTAAACTCTTTCAACACTTTGTTCCGAGACTGTCAGCGGTCCTCCAGATTCTTATTAGATTAAGGCTGTGCTGAGAATCAGGAGATGCGGGACCATGGGGAAGTGTAGCTCCATATTTATCACTAACAATAAACAATTCAACCTAAGAACACTAGCCCAAGCCCACTCTAAGATCCCTTAAAGGCATTTATGCCACATATTCCACTATTATCTTTTCCCATAATAAGATACCAACAAAAGCCCACCTCAAAAGCTTATAAAAATATTTTGAGAAGAGATTATAAACATCTACAGGATCTTGGAAGAGCTGAACAAGCTGCTCATTATCACTACACAAAATAACTAGTTTAGTATTTTTTCATGCAATGCTATGTTTTTCATATTCTTTATGTGTCATTTATTCATAAATGTACTTATTCGCTCGTTCAGCACATATTGATTTCATAGCTACTTTTGCTGTTACTACTCTAAGCGCCAAGCTCACAGTCTGAAATGAAGCAGAAAATCCCCAAGCTCCCTGAGGTTTCATCTAAGCATTTACTCTGTCCTGGGGCCGGGTTCTCTGAGGTCCTGTGACAGAGCATGTAGCTTCTATAATCTAAATGTCTCTAGGTGACTATTTAACCAGTGACCTCGAAATCATTTTATGAGCTTTGTTAGAAGTTCAGTTCTCTTAAATATGAACTTAAATGGTTTAATTTGACCTCTACATCTGAAGTATGTGTGAACCAGAGAGAAACTAAATGTTTGTCTTATTGATACCCCCAAAAGCATATATGTACTGAATTCAAGGCATTTTGAAAATTTATCAAAATCAACTTTTCTTATTAATAAAGTCATAAAGCGTGAGTATCTCTTGCAGGAGTAGTGAAATGAGAATATATATCATGAAATCAAACAAAAGTAGAGTATTGTGCCTCAAAAAATGAGGTAAAGATGATGAGGTAATTCACTTTATTACTCTCATCAGCAAGCATTTCTGCAGGGCTCGTTGTTGTCGTGAGACATGAAGAAAGCCTGCACACACACACCTTGCCCTCTAGAAATGTATGATGTATCATAGAGTTAGTATCTAGCGGAAGCAGGAAGGTAAGACCATACTTATGTTCATTTGCTTCTGATTTTCTGCTCTAGAGCCTTCCTATACAGCCAGCCCTCTGGATGCATGCATTCTGCAGCTCCAGATTCAACCAACCACAGATCAAAAGGCCAACAATGTTGCGTCTGTACTGAACATGTACAAGCATTTTTTCTTGTCATTATTCCCTAAACAATACAGCATAGCAACTATTTACATAGCATTTACATTACATTAGGTATTATAAGTAATGTAGAGATGATTTAAGGTATACAGAAGGAAGTGTGTAGGTTCTATGCAAATGCTCCATCATTTTACACAAGGGACTTAAGCATCCACGATTTTGGTGTCCATGGGGGTCCTGGACCCAATGCCTCAGGGATACTGAGGGACAAATATATTTACTTTCAGTACATTTTTCTAATCTTCATCAATACTTTAGCATCCAACTGTGTTTTCTTGTTTCTTTGTTTTGGTTTAGTCACACTTCCCTATGTTTAGAGCTCAGAAGCTCTGTGCTATTTATCTTTCTGGGCATCTCTGTTTTCCTCTGTTGTATCTAGACTCTGCATACTTCCTCATGTTCCACAGCTCAGTTTCTCTTTCTGGAAAGTCATGTTAATACTATTTTCCTGGGGCACGGACTGCTGGGAATAAAATGAATAAAGATGGTTATAACAAGATAGGTGGGCCACCTGACCTTGAAATCCTGAAATGGATGTAATACATTGCTCTGCCCACCGCCACCTGACAGGAGCATTCAGGGACTCAGAACACGAGCGAGGCTGGAAGCACCTGCTCATTGTTGTGGGCCAGGAATCCTCATAGATCCTCTTCCCATTTTAACTTTATAAATAATCCACAAAAAAAGGAGATATAAATGGTGATGCTATTTAGGACTGCCAGCTTTTCTCACTCAGCCTAGTTGAAGGCAAATTTATGAAAGTGCATCTCCTGAGAGTACTTTGGAGAAAAGTAAAAATCATTCAGGGTGAAAAAATGAAACACAGTGGCTCCCATCTATTGAGTATCTACACTATTCCAGCTTCTTTACACGTGAGTTTCATGCCGACCCTGCAAGGTGGACTTAGTACCTTTATTAATAAATTGGAGAGGCACAGAGAATTTAGGTAACAAAAACTAGTGGGTGTCTCCAAACGTTTTGTTCTTTCCACATCACACTAGTTCCAAAGTTATAACAAGAATCACAGAATATGTAGGTATATAGCTGTAGGAGTACAGACTTTGAGAAAGTCTTGACTTTGAAGTAAAAGGATATGGAATTGATGAAAAAAAAAATATATATATATATATTATTGATGAAAAAATTGCTCCTTTGTAGGAAAAGAACATTCTGTGCATGGAGGGACTTGATTGGGAGTGTAGAGAAGATGACTGCGACACTTAATAGCAGTCATCCAAGGACATGGCAAAGACGATGATTGGCAGTCATTATTATTGACAAGAACAAGGCAGTGAGAGGCCAGAGGTAGAAGAGGTTGCCAATTAAAATGTTTGCAAGTTGCTAAATAACAATTAAAAAGGGCATCATAGTACCGCATGACAGATTAAATTGAACAATTATTTTATTATTAGCCAATATAGGTGTGTGGGGGAGGGCAGAGAGGGGACTCTTATGCTTAGCTGTGCCAGAGCAAGCAGTTTGGTGACTCAGCACTGGCTGGAGTGTCAAAGCCCCCCATGAAGGACGGCTGGAAATGTAGATATATCCACATGGTCCTGAAGCTGCTGTAAGAATCCCACAGTTAAAGAACGATTTTAGCTACCTGTCTAAGAAACAGAAATAAATCTATAAATAAATGGTATATAAAGATATACAGACATAAATCAATCTGACTTTTTTGTAGTTTCTTTATACATACATACTTATGTTGGACTAAAAAACTATTTTGCATAGTTCCATATTTTCTAAACTTTAAGTTAGCAAACTTAAGTTGTCCTTGTATAAATGCAATAATCTCTATTAACCAAAATTTATTAATCCTTTTGTTGGAGGAAATTGTTGGTTGCTGTAGGAGAAGTATGACCATTACGCTATTATGTTCCAATGACTTCCCTCTCTATTGGGAAAATATAATGTTTTCATTGTCAAATACACCTCTTCATAGTCCATATCTAGAATAATGTATATAAAATAGTAAATGCTAGAGCAGTATGGATGATTACAAACTGTAAGCTTACTTAGTTTAGCATAAGTGGTTCCAGATGCCTTAACATTCCCTTAGTATCACATGATAATGATCCATGTCATTAGAAAAATTGCTGATAGGATTAGAGTTCAAGGATACAGGCCATGGGGGATCTAAAAGTAAGAACACTTTAAAAAGTTTAAAATGCTATATAAATGCCAAATCGAATAGTTTGTGGAAGAACATTAACATATAGCAAAATATGTCTCATCTATAAAATGAAGGAGCCAGATTCTGTGATTTCAGAATAATCTGCCAGTTTCAACGTTCCATAACTTCATGTCCTTGTGGGCTGGTCATCATCGGGGGAGGTTGGTCATTGCACAGCAAGCGCCAGGAACCAGAGCCATCATATACCTGGTGTGAAAGAGCTGAAAGAAGAAGAAAATGACAAAGCCAGGATTTTCAGGATGCTGAGAATTCGAATACAAGAATGTGATCAAAAGGGAACAAGGCAAGATTCTACTCTTGTAAATCAACAATTAAGAAAAAGGCCTTCATATTTTGTTTGTTTGTTTGTTTTCATGGAACAGTGGAGGCGCTCCATTTGGGAACATTAATGGCTGCCCATGGCTACTTCTTTCCGATCTCAGATCACGTCCTCACACTCAAGGATGATGGTACTTTTTACCGGTTTCAAGTAAGTTTAATGAAAGTATTCTTTAATAGTAAAATAGAAGTCTGTATTTTGATGTTAATTGTTTTTATAGAAATTTCTAAAATTATGACATTTTACTTTGACTAGGCTAGTTAGAAACTAATTAATGTTAAATTTAAGACATAAAAAGCAACAAACAGAGAAAGATGGAAGGTACTTAAAGATGATTTGTGAAAGCTAAATTGTGTGATTATTGAAGTTATATTTTATATAAAAAGCTTGAGAAAAATTCAGAGAGTGACTTAAGGGAATTCAGAAATATGGAGAGTTCTTCGTCTGTAAGGTACGTTTAGCTACTAGGAAGCAAGTTGAGAGATGTAACTAAATTTGCTATACTCTGTAACCCCACCAGTGATCCAGAACCATCTTCAGTCCAAGCAAACTCTCGTGGGAACACTTGAAGCTCCAGGGTAGAATTTAACTAATCATACAAGCCCTCCACATGTAGGTATCTGAGGCCCTTCTACAAGTCTGTGAAGACCGACATGCATGATGTTTCGTGTGCATATACTTATCTGAGATGGGAGGACACCTTAGATAACCTGCCAGCTGAGAAGAGTCATTCTAGGTCATTCTCAAATGAGACAGATGCTATTGTTCTTTCAGGAAATGATTGTTAGCTCTAATTTCAGTCACTGAGCATGCAGCTGACACTTGAGTTCACAATGATTTATGCGAAGTGTACTCTACATTTCATTAGACATTATAGCTCATTAATAAGTGACTAGTGGATTCTAGCCTATAAAATTAGGGAACATATCATGCCAGAGTTCCAACTCCAGCTTAATTTCTACAGGTATTTTTGGAGGATTCTCCCCATTGTCCAACTTTCAGACACTGGAGCATTCCACTCAGTTGTTCTGAATATCGTTAGATGTTTTATATATAAATAAATGACTAAATGGTAATCTGGGTGCCTAAGAACTTGCTTGGGAAGACTGAGAACAAAGAGAGAATATGTTTTAAAAAATTGTTCTCAAAGGTCATTGTCCTCTACAACACTCTCACTGCCACTGCTTTAGGACCGTTTTATCCAAGGCAAATGATCATAGGGCTTTCTGCACTGAATAGTTAGGAGAAAATGCAACATCCTGAAATTGAGATACTGATGTAAGTATTCAAGCAATTTAAATTAGTTAAATACTTAATTTTAAAAGGCTTTAAAATAATGGAGCTTTATCCTTTATACAGTTAAATCAAGAGTAATGGTAGCTTAAGACAGCTTATCATTAAGTTAGAATAACTTGTGGTCCTAAGGTTACCATTTTAACAAATAAAAATTATTGGTAATTAGCAAAGTGTTTATGTGTTACTAACATTTTTTTATTTTTAAAGGGGTTACTTTTCTATTGTAAGGTTACATTTCCCATATAATTTTATTTTCTTATAAATTTTTCACATAGAGACTATAAGTACACTTTAGGCCAAAAAAAATTCTCACAAATTCTGAATGAATGATTTTTTTGACAAAAATATCAACTTTTATCCATCTTCACAATCCATATTACAACTAAAATCATCTATGTATAAATGAACATGTATATAAACCAAGCATTAAATATAGTCTATTTGTCCATTGAGAATTATCTAATTCAAAAATTTCCCTTAAAACAAACTAGCTCAGACATGGCCCAAAGTTAGTGATGCTGGCTTGAAATAGCATAATTGGCAACATTTAACTCTGCTTTGTCATTTTCATATTGAAATTAGTAGGCGGAGAAGGTTAAATGTGGTAAGTCATGCTCATGGGTCAAAGATGAGCAAACCTGGGAATGGACCACCCTGTATTCTGGAGAAAAAGAGACACTGTTTTAAAGAGCTAAAGAACAAAGCAAGGGAATGGGTGCAAGTGAAAAATGAATTACATCTTTACTAGGTATAGGCAGAAGGTGACCAAGTTCAATGGGCCTAGACAGATGATAGATAGATAGATGGACAGGCAAATAGATAGAAAAGCTCTTAAACTGCATTAGTTAATGTTAAATGTTAAATATTTTAATGATACATTCACATTTGAAATAGGATCTAAATAAGACATTTGTGAATCTAATAATCATAGTATCTTAAAACAAAGATTTAAAAAACAAACATTTGGGTGGTGAACATGATGTAATCTACACAGAAATTGAAATATAATGATGTACATCTGAAATTTATATAAGGTTACAAACCAATGTCACTGCAATAAAAAATGAATTAAATAAATAATAATCATAAAAACAAACAAAAAACCAGAAAAGTCAAGAGAATTGAATTCCTCCTATAATGTCTACCAAGGCATTGATCAGTCAATATTTGAACAGCACTAATAATAAAAAATACATTATTGTTTAAGGTGTTGACTTCCATTTTTGTGTTAGTTTCAAGCAATAGAAAGTTCTTTGTTACAGGGAACAGAAATGCAACTCCTTAGAAGGATTTTAAAAATGATGAATTAAAATGGGAAACATGTAATACCATGTTTACAATTCCTCAGAAAATGATTGCGATTCTAACCATCATTAGGAATCTGAAGAAGCTTCAGGGCATGAGTTTGAGACAAACAGAACTCTTAATTTAATTTCATTGGCATGCGACAGTATGTAAATTTGTCTCAATTTTTCAGTACATTTTTAATCATGTAATTTTTGTATTTACTGTAAACTCACAATTGTCTAATTATCTTCTCTTAGCTAATTGGACTTGAGATCTGACATGATTCTCCAAGACCCTTTCATGACTTTCATCATATTAGTATATGTACCAAAGATTGCTGAGCAATGGCTGGACAGCTTGGGATCAGTTTTATCACAGCTAAAGAAGCAACACTGAAAAGCAGAGAAACTCATACATTAAAATGTCCTAAAGTCTAGTGGAATTGTAAAAGTAGATTTTTAGATTCCAACTAACTATAAAGACTCGTTATTCTTTAAATTGTCTTCTACTATAAATCAACATGTTTCCTAGGGAAAATCTTGCAATATTGGTGAAGAATGTTGGTTTTATGGCATTTCTATAGAATATCACAGGGTAAAATAGCTTCATTCTTTTATTTTTACAGTCAGGAAATTCTCATTAAAGTAAATGATAAAAGAATAAAGAAAAATTGTAAGAATGCCTTTGTGAACATTCCTTGTGGTTTTGAGCAAAAAAGTATGTGTCTGACAAGAATAGATATTTTAAAAGTTAGATAGAGATGCACACACACACACACACACACACCCCTCCCAAAATAAAGAAGCAGCCCAAAGGGAATAAAGCACTCTATGAGAAGTATCTCAAAAACTAGCAGCCCACATGAAAGCAAGATTTTAAATACTTTGTCCTCCCATGGTTCCTCCAGAATCCTGACCCCATTTTAATTTCTAAGAAACCAAATCTTCAAAGCTCCAACTCCCAGAGTCAAGTGAGTCTTGGGTGAGAAGGGGGGCCTGTATAAAGCCTTGATATCCCCTCTTTGTCTAGTGTTTCAGCATTTTTTCCCCTAAATTCCTGCTGTAACTTTGTTCACATGTGTGTAAAACTCATCTTGGTAGCCTTCTTTATTGTATTGCATCAGTTCTCAAGAAAGAGCAGAGGGTCCATCAGAATCCCCCAGCAGTCTCGGGCAGTGTGGAAAGTCTCTGCCTGGAGATTCAAGAGGTTCTCCCCAATTCTCTTTTCCCCTTCCTTGAGAATCCTTCTTCTGGAGGGTAGAATTATCAAACACATAATCAGATATTACCCCCAATTGTGCTCGTTACATGTGGACAGTTAATATAACTGACTAATAAGTATAATTAAGCCACACAGCTGGTGTCAGCAGTCACCATCCCATGGAGCCCCAGCACCATCGACATCTGAGGAAACAGTTTGGTAGAGAAGACAAATGGTCACCGAGCTGCCTCAAGATCTGGAGCCAAGCATGTCTCACTAGCAAGGCAGGAAGAGTCCCTTTAGAAATGATAAAATGTCGATGACAATAATATGGTTTTTCCTGATCAGACATCTTCTTTGTAGTTTTGTCAATCAGTTTCTAGAATTTCACTGAATCAGATTTTTGTCTATAGTTAATCACCTCAATGAACTAAGACAGTATTCGTTTTTAAAAAATGATCTCTGGTTTATGCAGTTTAAAAGATTAGAGGAATAACTTTCTTCATGAATAAATGTCTTTAGAAGTGAGGAGAAAAGTTGTTTACCTCTAGTAGGATAATGTAAAGAGTCGCATTATATAATTAATGGAGCCAGGCAAATGATCGCCAGATCTTAGGGAAAGATTTTGAGGGCAGAGCCTTTGAATTTACTGAAGGCAATGTTGAGATACACGTATCATAGAAAACCATTTGTTATATTTAAATATGTTTCATCCTGAGTCTCGCTGAATATAGCACTCTGTTTTCCGTCTTGCAGATGAACATTTTTTGTTTGAATAATGCAATCAGACCTTTTACCTGTATGTCAGTTGATATAAAATTGCAGCAAATGTCCAACATTTTACTTACCTGCTGGTACTGCACGTACTTGGAGGCTGAACAATTGCTCAGCAAAGTAAATGTAGGAGAAAACCCTTACAGTGCCTCCCTGGGTACTTTTTCCGGATTATGAAGCATACCTGATTAGCAAACTGTTCCAGATAATTGCTGAAGATAAACACAGCTCATAAACCAGAAACTCTACTAATTCTTTGTGTCTAACTGGGTTCCACTTCTTTGATTTTCACAGACACCCTATTTTTGGCCATCAAATTGTTGGGAGCCGGAAAACACAGACTACGGTCAGTGCAATTTCTCCTCATTTCATTATTGACAGCCAGTCTGGGTGAACATGTCCTTGCATTTTATTGCTTTGTCATTGGGAAAAGAAAGCCACAATTCTCAGTATCGGACCAGTATTTCGAACACAGAATTTATGAATGACCTTGTTTGGAAACTTACCAAAGCTGGTGGTAACTTTTTCCATGGTGTAGTGACTGCGACTACTAAAGAAAAGTAAGTTTTCTTCTAAATAGGTTAAAGAGCTATAAACAAGCTTAAAAAGATTATTATTATCTTTCCATAGCACCTTGGTCTACTGGAAAGAGTAACAAAGGGGCTCAGGGAACCAGAGTTCTAGTTTACCTCTCCCACTTAGCTGTGTGACTTGGGGTAAATCCCTTGACTTTGTAAGCCTCCATTTTTCTCGCTATTATATGAAGTATCCTGTGCTTCTGTAAGCAGAAGGTTGTGTTAAACATGGAGAGCCCAATTGCAAGCAAAAGAAAGGATACAATGAGAAACTTAGTAGTAAAGAATTAAGTTCAGTGAACTTAGAATGAACTCTGTTCAACAGCCATGAGTTCAGTTAAACTCTTCAATGAGAAAATACGCCGTAGTAAGTACTCATCTTCTTACACCTTTCTGAAGGCTACAGCTTTCAAAGATAAGATTGCACAGTTTTTAAATGTCATTTCTACAAACATTGAGGATTTTTTCGTGTGCAAGTGCTTCAGTAGGAGCTGGGACAACAAGGTGACTCTGACTTCATCTGCTCTGTTGGGTAGCTCATAGGCTGGATGAGAAAAGAGAAATATACAGAAGGAATTACTGTAGAGTGCCGAGTGAATGTAACGGTGGTGTGTGCAAAATTATATGGAAGTTTTAAAGAATGAGAGATTGACTTGACTCGAGAGATTCCAGAGTGATTTCACAAAAGAACTGAGAGCACCTGAGCTGGATTTGAAAGGAGGAGGAGGTATTTTTTAGAAGAGAAGGCATTTGAGGTTGAGGGCCAGCATATGCAAAGGCAGCGAGAAGCTTCACAGCAGCCTGACTTTCTTTGGTATCGCTCCTAGGAAGACGTGTCTGTAAGAAAACTGGGGGAAAATCCATAGAAAACCAATGGTGCTGTCCTTCATGTTTGTCGTTTTAGAAATGAATTTAGTAGTTCATCCAAGAGTGGTCAGGTGTCAGTCCAAGATTCAAACTAACAAAACTCATGGAAAATAATCTAAAAATCAGAATACTGATGAATTAATAGAGAGTATAGATTATTCCTTTCCAGTATTGGGAATGCTGATTTCTTCATCCAGGGTGCCTATTCCTCAAAACTCCAAGGTGCTTGGAGAATGAGGTTATTAAAAATCAAATGCTGGGGGCTGGCCCGGTGGCACAGTGATTAAGTGCACACGTTCTGCTTCTCCGTGGCCTGGGGTTCGCCGGTTCAGATCCCGGGTGCGGACGTGGCACCACTTGGCAAAAGCCATGCTGTGATATGCATCCCACATATAAAGTAGAGGAAGATGGGCATGGACGTTAGCTCAGGGCTAATCTTCCTAAAAAAAAAAACTGCTGATTTGGGGACCTGTGATGGAGAACTTTGTGGAGCGTTTTGTCCAACCTGGGATGCTGCCTGGGGATTGTCTCACTAAAGAACATGAAACTCTAGTGGAGGAAACTGTTGGACAGCTGAGAAGGAGCTCAGGGAGAAAGACCCAGGTGTTGGAGGCAGACAGACCTGACCTCAAATACTGTCACGACCACACACCAACTGTGTGACTTGGGTGAGGTGTATAACATCTCTGAGGCTCAGTCTGCTCACTTTTCAGGCAGAAATAATAATACTGACTTTCTAAAGTTGTTGAAATAATCCAAATCAATACGCCTAGGAAACTGGTATTGCTTCTCTCATATTCAATAAATTGAAATTGTTTTGTGCTCATCATCATTATTGCCTGACAGACACACTGTCTCTTTTCCTTGTAGAAAAGCAAATTCTTATTCTTGGGGCCTGGCCCAGTGGCGTAGTGGTTAAGTTTGTGTGCCCAGCTTCAGCAACCCATGGTTCACAGGTTCAGATCCTGGGCACGGACCTACACACCACTCATCCAGCCATCCAGCTGCGGCAGTGTCCCACATACAAAACAGAGGAAGTTTGGCATAGATGTTAGCTCAGGGCCAATCTCCCTCAGCAAAAAGAGGTATATTAGCAACAGATGTTAGCTCAGGGCCAATCTTCCTCACTGAAAAAAAAAAAAATCTTATTCTCAGTATTTTCTCTAGCCATCTTTTGGGTTTTTCATAAATATGTTAGTGTTTACAATTACAGCTCATGTTTCCTCGACTCCCAGTAGACCGATGTTTCAATGGTAAGCCTGAGGAAATGTCATGGCCTACACAACAAATCATTTACAGAACATCTCTCAAAGTCAGTCATCTCAAAATGACTAATGTCATTCAGTTTCACAGTAACTCTAATTGATGTCCATTTCAGAGGGACTCATCTTCTAAACTTTCTCCCCGAAAGTGAAGTGTCTGCAATTTAACTAACTATAGACATAGTCTTATTACCATATTTGTATTGTAATACAAAAAAGTCTCTCCTGAATAAACGTATACCTATTTTTGTCTAGCTTGCATGGATTATATACAGGTGAAGAATAAAATAATTACTCAATAAGAGGTTATGAAAGAAAATGAGAGGAAGTGAATTGATAGTCATCTCAGACGCTGTACCACTGCTGTAGGCGATGATGTTTCATCTTCTATGATTTTTTAGGTGCAAATAAATCATAGCAGCAATCTGAATCATCCAACTTTGAATTTCCTACTGCCTTTGTTTAAAGAGCACTGTTATAAAACGTGGACTCCTTCCTCTAGAGAGGATATTGATGTATGATGGGCTGTGGGGCCCAGAGCACAGTGATTACTTAGGCTGTCTTTTCTAAGACAACTTTGGGGCAGTTGATTGCTTAAAGCAGGCTTAAAGATTGTTTCTTTCACTTTATTAGCATCCCAGCTTCTGTTTCCACCACCAATTCCAACTTCCTAGGTAGGTTCTGCAGAAAATAACCTCTACAGATCAGTTTATCTGGAGAAACACTTTTTCATGGTTAACTTGGTCTTGTAGAAAAATAGAATATGTTGGTCATGTTTAATGACTAGGACAAGCCAATGTGGACTACAGGGCTACATTTCTCTGAACACCATTCTTTGAAAATCAAGCTGGGTGAGATTTCTGATATTTTTACTCAAGTACAAAAAACACTCCAGTCCAAGCCAATTACAATGGAGTCAGGAATGGACATCCACAGGTGTATTTGCATCAAGAGTGATCTAGCACCAAGGGCTTGCCATGAGGGCTGGAGGCCAAGGCGTGAGGAAGCTTTGAGAACTGTGGTAAGTGGAAACAGTAGCAAGGGTAGCAAAGTGAAACAGAAGCCAGCGACAGGATGCTTACTGACATCTCTGGGCACACACACTGCACACTGAGGTTCCTACAAATGAGCCCACATTGACCGATGACTTCAGGTTGGCCTCTTTTGAGAGTTGAATCTCCAAAGTCCAACTAGGACTTCAATGCCCAGAAATCAAAATTTCCAATAAAGGCAGGAGCCGACCTCACACTTGCATGTCTCACCTCACTCACCTCCCCCAAATCCTTGCCCTGTTGGAGCCTGTCTTTACTTAATATTTTGATGTTTGTTCATCATAGATTTTTTGGATTCATTTTACTTTTTTAAAATATTACATTGAAATATTGTTTTTCTTGATTAGTGGCTTTTTTGGCGCTCCCTCAACTTTTGCCCTCTAGGCAAGTGCCTTACTCACCTCATCCTAGGTTAATGCAATGGAAACCAACACGTGACAGGCACAGAGAGACAGGTGTGTTCTCAACACGAAGACCTTTGAGCAGTGAAAACTGTCCAGAACTTTGCTTCTTCTTGTGGGTGATGATTTGTGCCTCAGAAAATATTAGCCAAAGGCCTGTCCTCGCTCAGGCTCTTAGGGAGGCTTTCGACGAGATGGAGGGAGGTTGTAGCTCGTGGGCACTGAGGAACTAGACCACGCTGAGCTCCCCTTGTCAAAACCGTGCTAAAGGAATAGTAAAAGGATATAGAGAATTAATACATTTTTCATAGATGATGATGAAAGGCCAGCAGAAAGAAAATGTTCTAATTCACTAGTCACAGCAATTGTGTGCTGACATAGAATAATGACGGCAGCTTTGAGATAAACAGTCATTTTTCCTTCAAGGACAGATTTTAAGTTGGTCGGTTAACATTGGTAGGAAGATGGCCGTATCCAAAGTTCTGTGTTTGGGGCAGGGGGGTGACAAGCAACTTATGATTAATTAGAGAGATCAAATACACCATGAACCAATTTTAAAGAACCTTGAAATAAATGCATAAACTAAATCAAATTAATAGCATATATAGCTTCAGAACTGTGTCTTAAATCTTAAATAAGTGACAAAATAACAGTGCCTTAAATCTTTGTATATTGATACAGTTATAATTCTATGATATATAATATAGGAAAAATGAGAATTCAAGACGCTGCGGAAAATGGAAGATCTTTACTTTTCTAAAAGTAGATATTGTTTATTTCTTGACCTAAATATTGCAACGCTTTCCAATGAATTCATCCCATTAATACCATAGTGGGGAGGGTTCAGTTCCAGTTTCCTTCTTTTGGCACTTAATTTTTAAGCTGTTTATTTCATAAGAGCTTTAAAAGGGCCTCTACAATTCTATTTCATAACCTCCATAGAACTTCCAAAGCCTTTGTCATCCTCGTTTGATGTGTCCATCCCTGCTATATCTAATTTTGAAGCCAGGTATTAGTGGCTCCTAAAACCATGTTTTAATGAATAGATTTTTTTTAATTTCTGTTTTTTGAAAAAGTTTTGGTGTACGAAAAGATTGAACGGAATGTACAGAGAGTTCCCGTAAACCACCTCAATCCTATCCACACTCTCCCTATTATTAATATCTTGCATTAGTGCAGTACATAAGTT